CCGACTGAGGACATCACACTCCAGGCCAGGGCCCGAGTGGAACCCAAAGGGGAAACGACGACTTGGGAGTCCGAGGGTGACATGAAGATCATGTGAGGAAGAAATGAAAGCTTGTGGGCAGTCATGGAGCCAGGTTTAGAAGACTGTAGAGAACAGAGTGCAATAGAGACGTGCTACTGAAGCCCTCCCTATTTTCCACTAGGAACCCAAGGGACAAATAATAATATGAATAATAATGCGGCCGGACACTTAATGTTGCGTAGATAGTCGATCTCGACTTTATACATTTTAAAGTCGCATTGTTTGAGGACGCTATGAGAATACATAACCTTCTGGATAATTTAAAAACAAGATTTAGTATGCTTTCTGTATGCTAGGAATAGAAAGTGATACTTCAGAGACAATATTCATCTGAGCATATATTCATTGCCAGAAGTGAAGAGGATGACAGTTACAACTACAATTATCAAATAGCTTCATTAACCTTAACATAGAATCGTTGAAGAAATAACAGTACAATGAGACTGGATAATCATTGCTAGTTACGTGTAGTAGTGTCAAAATATCTCCTAACTAGTTTGAGATAGTGCATATCTGTAATTCCAGTTTTGGTGTAAAATTCATAAATTGTCTCTCTGTTAGGCTGCACTACAATGCGATGTCAAGCACTTTCTGTCACAATACTGACAATGGTAGGTCTTATTTGACGAAATCCTCAGGTATGTAATCCTAACGTTAAATGTGGGCCGTTAGGTTTTTACGAGATATTAGGAAGCTGATTCGGTTGTGCTATACATCATTGTACCAATCATTCGCAAGGTAATATAGCCTAATGCATAATAACAAGAGGAAAACAAAGGAAAAAAATGTGTCTGGAGTCTGTACGGACTAAGAATATCGATTAAAGTCCGATGAAAAGTTGTTTGTCACTAGTGTGGTGTCATTGAGTTGCTAAATGACGGTACTTGAGCTGTAGAAAATTTAACTGCTAAGTGACACGATACGAATGAACGAAACGAACTCAGACATCTTGTGTAAATCCATACAGTGAGCAATGAGCTACACCTATTGTGTGGGGGCTAGCGATATTCGGTGGCTGCCCCAACTTTGGCAGATGGAGCGGCGTTCGAATCCATGACTCATTGTCTGAAAGTCACCTCAGCAAACCATCGAGCCGCAGTTACACACCGCTATATCACAACAACACAACAAACATGAAATTAGCTATCACGTCAGTTTATGCCTTCATTATACTGCCAACAATTTATACTAAGTACAATCTCTATACCTAGACTGAGATGTTTATGAAGTTTTACTGCGATTCAATCCATCATATGTTCCTATTCTGTACATCTTTTTTCCATCATACACAACAACATTTTTCTTCTCACCTATCTTGGCTACATCTTTTTTGACTATGCATTCGGCATTAAATATCAAGCAAACCTCGCAATATGAGTGTTAATCTAAAGAACTGCTCAGTTGGAAATACCGAAGATCTTAGAATTCTTTCCCTATTTTATCGATCAGGGATTTAGTAACCTCTATTGATATAAGCCATAAGTAATGGAACTCCTAAGTAATTCTCATTAATAGACGCCAGCTTATGAACCATTTAGGATAAGCGATCATTGGATGCTTTCTCATTCTAGTTTGAAAGTTTACACTAGTGAGCATTCATAACATCATGCGGTATTGTACCCAGGATCATCCGGTTTCTCAGCAACCACGTTACCGCTCAACCAATAGGGTTGAAGTTCGCTTGCCTATCGACACGCAATTTAGTATGACCATCACCTAATGTCCTCTGTGTGTCATTCGATGCTTTCGAGCTCACAAGTCCCAGCTTTTTATCATCAGGTGATCTCTGAAGTAATTTAGTAGTGGCTTAATGAGTCTCATATTAGGACGAAACCACCGTCCAGTGCTCTCTCAGTCTCAAAAATTCTGTTTTTGTTTTCCATCCATGATGAATACTTTAAAAGTAATCAATTCCCCACAAACTTCACAAGTGATTCAAAAATTTGTGAAAATTATGAAGCCTACAATATCCTCGTATTTAAGTTCAGTCATTTAAGCATTATAGTAAGGTTGTCTTTATGCAGCAAACTTTTTTCTGTGTATGGATTTATACATAACCCAAAAATCATTTTTCTTCTGGTGACTATTTTTCTTCATTAGCAGTAGAAAACAATGTTGTGCATGATTCTTCTGCACGTAGTAGATATTTTAAAAAGCTGAGCTTTCCTACCTTGTTGCACTTTCTTGTGATATTGTTCACTGCCTGGTTTCACCAAAAAGAATAGAAACTTGGCTAAAATATTTACAGTAATTCCTGTTCCATCCGTCAAATAAAAAAGTTGACAAAATGCGTTTACTAACCTGAAATTTCTATCCTGCTTCCTTTTACTTTCCTCTAAACTGTTGTTGCAGTGTTTGTGCATATGTATATTAGACTTGTTGCCTTGCTATTTACTAAATAAAACTGTGAAAATATTGTTTCACTTTCTAAAGTATTGATTAACTGTTAGGAACTTGTCTATCGTTAACCTAGTAACAATCACGTTCATTCGCTAAGACAGTAAAAGCTTGCTTATCATGTGTCAATACAGTTTAAGTGAAGAGTAACTTTAAAGGCCACCCTAACAACAACTGAAATAACCAATTAGACTCCTCTATTTCATGAAAATATGCCCTTCCAGCCACACTGAAGAAACCTAACTGGTAGTTTCAATCGTTGCTAGGATGGCCTTTAAAGTCACTCGATATTAGTATATGTAAAAGGAACGACCACCTACTGGGCAGTTTGCCTTTGAAGAAGAGTGACTTTTAGGGGCCTCCTAACAACTACTGAAATAACCAATCAGCTCTCGATATTTCTGTTGGGATGGTAGTTATTCCTATAATATAGAAATGTAATTGGTTATTTCGGCAGTTGCTAGGGTGACCTTTAAAGTCATTCTTGTAGAACCAGAAACATTTTTATCTTTTGAAATAAATCGAAGAAACTCCACGTTGTATTGTATAAAGCAAGAACAGACAATAGTAGTTCAGTTTGTATACATATTTAACTAAGCTGTTTGATTGGTGGAAGTTCTAGCTGGAGAAAATGCTATGATCAAACCGGATATCATAAGAAGTCAAGGCTTTTTTTGAATTGTTCTACCCTTCTGAAACTCTTCGCTCAAATGTTACTGAGTTTATTTAATCCGTTTGAAATCAAGAGTTAGGTGTATGATTTTCAGGCTGAGTTTTGTTTTGGTCAACCAGTCAGCCATCTTTCATCCTACCTCCTGTGGGCCAATAAATTCCACCAGTTATTGACGCTAGTCTGTAACATCTGGTGCCTATCAGTAGTACATGCTGCAGTAGTATAGATTTAACTGAATAAATTTTCTTCTGGCTATGATAAAAACGAAGGAGTACACTAATTAATGTTTAAAATAAATGATAATAAGTGATAAGCAGAGCTTTGATAATTGCGATTTTTTAGAATTTTAAACAAGCATGAAACAGTAATGGTCAAAGTGTTATAAGGGCTACATTTATTGCTCTACGTTGGATCAACGAAGCAAAACCTAATGAACACCAACGTGAAAGTAAGTACATAGTCAAATAGTTTAACTTGATACATCTTTTTTGCCACACAACTTATGCTGACATTCTTTGAGATATAAACTGAAGCCAGCAAATGAGAATATGGTTAATGACAGCTATGTACATTTAATTTACAAACATGGCACTCTACACAGTATTTTCACATGATTTTAAAAGTTAAATTTATATTTACTTGAGAGTTAAGTAGTAATACGCTTCCATCGTGCATGATCTAGTTGACAAATTTACAGAACTACAGTTGTGAAAATCATGTAATAAATTGTAACCATGAGAACGAGAACTTTCACTCTTCTACACCTGACTTAGTAAACTAACCATCACTTTCAAATGTAACATCGATACCGTAAACTAACATTGTTTTCATTCTGCAATCCTTTACTGCTTACATGATCCAAATTTTTATTCCCTCAAAATAGTCGGGTGAAATAGCTGTAGTTTGACAGACTGGTGGTCTATGGTGTTATGGGTTGATCCCCGAGGTGGAAATAAAACCTGTATCTCAGCAAGATTAAAACCATTGATCTGTGAGTTACTGGCCCTTTTCATTTCAACTTCAATTGTCTGCTTGTTACACTGATGAGAATAATTTACTGATTTACCAGTGACTTGTAAAGTTGTTTTTCCAAATCATCTTCTTGCTTGAACGCTCCATTTTGATAAATCTTCTATTAAAAAACGTCGACACCAAAGTGTTAAGCACCGCTGGGCGTGTTTTCATTAAATACTTTTATGAATTGACTGAAAACGGTAAAGATATGAATTTACAAGAACATAGAATGTGAAGGTGTTAATTAGTCATTCCACTGCAAAGCGTAAAAACTTATTCCTTCTAAATTTGGTTGAACACAATTTTTAAAACATTAAGCAAAATTTATATTTCCTCGAAAAATGTTCACATTTAAAAGGCTGAAATGACAATACTAGCGTCAGCTCAATTCGACAAACTGTAGTCATTTTTAAAGCAAACTATGGAGATTTCTCAACCGGAGGATACATTTTTGCAAGTTATAAACTCAAAGATGTAACGTGACTTTAGTGCGATTTCGTGAGCATTGTAGATAGTGTCATATATAAATACGATAACAGACAAAATTATAGATCAAATTCAAAATGCACCATGGTTATTGGAAGTGCATCCGGCAATTGTATGCACATTCTTGCTGTAAACAGAAATTCATACTTATTTCATATAGGCTAATAAAACTACCAGGGTGTCCAGACCTTGGCAGGTGGGAAGGTATCTTAATCCATGATCCACTAGTTGAAAAATGAGTGCCTAGACCAATGACTCACAGCTTCATAAGATGGTTGGTCAAAATAAGTTGGGATATTCAGAGTAACGGGAGAATAGAAAGAAATATTTCATTTATAAATGCATCTACCTCTTGCTCAAGCGCCATGCATTGGCATTTCCACCAACGAATTGTTGACGACAGTTCTAGTAGTCGCCTTCTCGATGACTAAAATTAGAAAAAATGAAAGAACAAATGAACCCCACATTTGTTATTGAAGTCAAGAAGTATTCATAGTAGGGAATATGTATGAACACAACATTAAATTAAAGTTATATCAACCGAAATTCCCCAAAACACACAAACTGTTCTAACGATTTACTGGTTTCAAAAACATTATAGAGCAATCTGAAATACACTGAACCACTTATAGTTATGATATGATTATTATTTGTGAAAGATTGACCTGGATATCATTGATTAATTACTTAGATTCATGTCATCTCCATTCAGATTATCAGTTTGGTTCCAATTCAATAATACCTAGCAACTTAAGATGTAGTCAATAATTAAGTTTTTTAAACCCATGTGTTTTAATCTTTGTAATGAATTTAAGACTTGAATTGGGCTTTGATTATCGTGATTTCAAACATCCACTTTTCGGCAGTTTAACTGTTTTGATTCTAACTTTTGTATGTACGAAAATAACGATAATGATACTTAGTTAAGTATACAGTAGAACAGATAGCTGAACGTGATACGCTACCTCATGGCTTGACGAACAAAACTTTTAATAATTGAGTTTTAAGTTAGATTTGGTCAGCAGCCGGGTCTCGTAGTTCCGTTGGTATAGCCTCGGCCCGGTTATTCTAGAGGCTGATGGTTTGAATCTTGCCGTGACCCAGATTTTCATCTCACCTTCAATTATCCCCCAGTATCATCAATAGCTCTCTTTAGGTATAGACGTGTGATACGTCAATTTATTCTTCAGTAGACTCGTTAGAGCTATTCTGAAAGGGGTTACAACAACAGAACATCATACTGCCTAGCAAATGGAATTTCAGTATTTTCAAGGTAAACAAAACAATTAAAGGCGAAATTATAAAGCTGTTCAACGTGCTGAAATAGGTAACTTAAAATAGTAAGTCAAAAAGTGAATGGGGTGCATTTTTACAAGACTAACTTGATGATCATTATCATTCAAGAACTCAGATATTTTGTCAGCACTTTCTGGCGATTCATTTGATTTCCCAATACCTTAAATAGACAAATTACACAAATTAACGAAGTAATATGATAGATAAGTAATATAATTATAAAACATATTACTTTGCTGTGAGTTTCTTGCCTGATTTTTACAATCCTATAGTGAATGTTGACTAATAGCTCACAATAATTTGGCCGATAGGATTTTCTGTATGATTAAATTTTTACGAATAAATTCCTGTCGAACTTCCGATAATGTCCTGACATATTGGCACTTCAGTCAAAGTCTGAAAGTCAAGATTAACTTAGGACCCGGTATAACTGCGGAGTGGTTCAAGTTGCCAAACCTAGTGTCAGCACATCAAACTATGAGGCATAGAAATATAAAAAAAAGGGAAATATGAAAGAAGACAATCAAAAATGATAGACATCCATCAGAAGCGAACAAGGAGGAATGAAACAATAACGACCAGGATGATTTAAATATCGCCTGGATGCATTCGTGTGTTGGACAAGAATTATACCTACTTAGTATACCAGAATCATAACTTCCTTAGGTGTGAACACTTCAGTCTAACACTCAAAAATGTCCTCTGTCATATTTTCCAACCGTGTATCTGTAATGAAGAAGGATATATTGTAGGGAATGATCGATATGTTTTTAGGGTTTGCCTCTTCCATTTTCTTGACGAAAGTCTAAGTAGCTGAATTCCATCGGAAATCAATGCAAAATATAGTCACCGGTTTACTGAGTGATATGACAGTTTGAGTTAAATGATAAATGTTTAGATTTTTTTCATTTAGTGTATACATTATAGTTGACTTGAAATCTAGGACCAACATTCCTTCTTGTTTGGGATTCGTCAGAGAGGTGTACCTGCACCCCAGTAAGTGACGTTGCTCCCACTGAGATTCAGACCTCGTACCCATTGCTTCAAACGCCAAGTCATTATCCCCTAGGCCACTTAAGCACGATAGCCACCTCTTGTGCAACGGGTTTCAGTTGTTGTTGTTGTTATTAGATGTTTGTAATTCTACGTTTCTAAAGAAGTATTCAGTAACAACAACTGATACCCGTTGGACGAGAGGTGGCTATCGTTCCCCAGTGGCTTAATGGGCAGCGCTTTGGCGTTTGAAGGGATAGGTATTGGGTTCGAGTCTCAGTGGGAATAAAATCACTCGCTGGGATGCAGGTACATCCAGCTGACGAGACCCATGTCCTAGATTCCACCCCTGTTCACCAAAATGAATATAACAATAGTAATCGCTCCACGATTCATTTGGAATCATTTTAGATCCAACCGAATTATATCCCTATGACTTTTGCCATAAGTTTGCATATCTCTGAAATGTTGCAAAAGGCGTTTGAAACTAATAAACTACGGCTACATTTAAGCCTTATACTGGCAAAAGAAATCATTGTTCCTGAGGATTACCTTACCCAGTGTATATTATGACAGTGTTCTAGTAACTTTGATCATAGTATCGATACTGCGAAATCGTGTTGTTATTTTCTAGTGGTGTTACATATGTAACACATACATGATATCTAACCAGAGTCTAACGACTTATAGAGGTGTAACCAATTGTTCCAGAAAATTACGTTTTTAACCACTGGTTTAAAGTTTCAAGTCCCATTCTTATTGCTGTCATTTAGAGAGTCAGTTAGTAAAGTCATTCTTCATACATATGTGTGACCTATGCAACAGATTAATGTATCCGACTTGGCATATAATGACGACATATATTATTTACTAGATGCTTATATGCCACAAATCCTGTCTGAAATGTCGTCCAGTAAATAATTCTTTATCAGTATGTAATGTACCAAATAACCGAATTTCATACAGGACTATATTCCACCGTATAACTCAAGTTCTACTCTTACACTAGTATGTGGCTAATTACCGTGTACTCAAACTTACAAATGAGTGCTTGAATTCCGAAAAGGTGTTCAGAAGGTTATCATACATGTGGAAAGAGGTTTATAAGCTGTGTAATTTAAAGGACCATAAACTATTTCGAGTCTTATCCAGCTTTATCATTTATGCTGTCTAGTGTGCAGGCTTTGTAAAAATTAAATTATTTCACCCACAGTCACTAAGATTTTTTTAAAATCTTGATTTACTCTCAGCCTGCTTTAAGAGTGCGGATCTGGAAGCATCAAGAGTGAGATTTTCAACAGTTCCCTTGCCACAGTTTCATCTGTTAAGATACTCAGTAGAAAACATTATGTTCTAAAAGTATGATGCTGTCATTAGTCAGTAGTCCAAGGTGTCAACAACGATGGATTCTGAATTTGTGCATTCAAATATATCCAAGTGCCGAATCGCACATAGGATATAATACATACCTTATATCTCACAAATAACCACTACGAAGCATCCAAACAAATACTGTACTGGATTGCAACTGTTTTGGTTGTTTTCGTAAACTCATGTTAAGTTCGAAAACGCATTTTACAGCTTCATCAGAGGATAAATTCCAATCACAATCTTGAACTGTGAACTAGTTCAAAAATGAAATGTCTTTCATGAAAGATATCATAGTTGTGTGAACTCCTGCCTGTCAGTTTCAAATACTGAGAATTAGAATTTTTTGTCAATGAAAATTGCCGAAAGTTGTTTGAAAACTTGTAAAAACTCATCTCCTATATAATGAACCAAACTGACTGCTTTCTCCCGGCATATAGTATTATGAATCAGCCAACCCTGCCCAAAACACTAATAAAAGGAAAATTATCAGCTCCAAAATATAACGAATGACACCTGATGTAGAGGAAGTGACTCTCGTGAGCATTTTCTGAGACGATATGTTCTGGATTCGAGTCCAGTGGGGACATGATCACTCACTGAGATACAGGTATACCCAACTTACGAATGTCAAGTAGGACGAAACTCGTGTTCTCGATTACACCGTTAGTCATTATTAAGCAAATAAAACCATCCTCACCTACTATGATCTCAGCTACTTCCTGATAATATTTGAAGTCAATTCGTCTGGTGACCGTTTGCAAAAGCTTACGCTCACCAAAAAACAACTTGAAACCAAGAATTTCCGTTTTCGATTGAATTTCAAATATTCAGGTTACGTGGTGGCAATATTTCCATTCGGACAATAAATGTGTTTTTATTTCTTAAAAAGCGCGACGAATTCTCAGCAAATTTTTGTCACTCATTTTTACAAGAGCGGTTCAGGTAAGTAAAAACTATCCAATCTTTTACATACTTTTAGTTCAAACTGTAAAAATGTTACATAGGCTTACGAATTTTTGTGAACTGGCACTTATGTAGTAGACATAACAGAAAATTTCATGTTAGTTTGAGCTATTTGGGTAAAATTAACTTAGCTAAATATGATAAAAGATGAGCATGGATGCTTATTGATAAAACTGAATGACAGTCATGAGACGTCGCGAAATGACTAAGGTTTTCAAGGATAGCCCTGTGATTTCAAGCTAACGACTGAATTCCATCGTGCTCAACACGGAACCAGAAAGCGTTGGCCTTGATCCCTTATCAAACTAAGAATGTCCGCTGCTGAAAACTCTCACACGGTGAAGAAACAAATGTTTTTTTTCACTGATATCATGCAACGACGAAAAATATCTTCGAACACATTCATTGCCTACTGTTGCGTCATATGCATATGAGTATGCGCTTCATGTTAAATATTCAACACTTAAAATTGATTCTTCAGGTTAGAGTGGTTCAAATGTCATTTAATGACTTATATCATTTCTATCAAATGAAAGCAAGCTTTCCACCAGTAAAAAAGTAAAGTTATCATTCGCAAGGCTGATTACTTCAATTTTTTAACCAGACCAAATATAAAAAAGCAAACCTTGATCTGTTTTAAACTCTGCTTTTCTTGAATGACTGCATTCCTGTTTCATTTGAAGAGTAGAATTTAACGGCATGATAGTGTAAGTAGAATTATTATAACTGTTAGAAGTTTTTTGGAAATCTTGAAGAAGTTGTTGCTTTTCTGACTTCAAAATTCGATTGTCTCCGTTGCACCGTCTAATGCTTTCTGTGTTGAATTCAGTTTTTCCGTAGATAATTTCTTTCATCTCTTAAAGTCGCCCACTTTTCTCGCCAACTAGCTGTACAATCAGACCACCATCTCATTGTTTTTTCAAGTTGAGTAGCACGCGAACGAGCCTATAGAATCGGAAATTAAACGGGGTGAAATATTTCCAGTAGTGAGATTCTTTTTTCAGTAACAATGTATATTGACACTCTGGTAATGTCCTGATGAAATACTTATCAATCTAAAGACACAGTGAGATAATATAGTCGATGCTCAGTTTTTAGCAATAAAGATGTTAGAACAGGTCTGGCGTGTTTCAACTATAACAGTGGGTATACTGGTGCAAATACAGTTTCTGCTTTAAAACCTTTACGTATGTGGCTGATGTCTGTTTTTCACAGGTGACTAAGTTAAATATGAAACAATGTAAAAGAGAGAAAAGTAGAATTCTTAGGACAAATCCATTTGAAAAATCACGAACATAACCTATAAATGCTGACTATACACTCATACTTTTATATCTAGTGGAATATTAACAGTACTGATTAAGGGTCAAGCGTAGTTCATGCCCGATCTATGTTATCATTGCATATTAAAATAAAGGTATTTCAAATAATATTATGGTTAGAGTTGGAGCAGTTACTGACCTAAGTCAAATTATCGGTACCCTTCATATGACGTTATGAGGAGAAACCAAATATACAGTATGAAATATTCGCTTATCGCATAAGTGTCCGTAAGTATGGTATATGCTTTCCACCATCGAAGTGCAAGATACTTTTGCAAGATTGGCAGTAATCTGTGCCCACGCTCACCATCAGTGGTGAGCCGTTGGAAGTAGTCGAAACGTTCGTGTATCTAGGTAGTTGTTTGAGTGCTGGTGGGGTGTGATGAAATTTCTAACCATATATAGTAGGCCAGAGTGATGTACGTCAATCTGAGTCACCTTTGGCACAGTTGTTCTGACCGTAAAAGATTGGGTTCACAACGATTCGGTGAGAGTAGTTTTGCTCTACGCCCGTAAAACCTGGCCTTTCAGAGCTGAGGATTTATGACGACTCTGTGTGTTCGATCATCGTTGTCTCCGTAGGAATGCTCGTATCTAGTTGCAACATCATGTCAGTACTTGAGGCATGACAGTGTGTTTAGGCATATTGCGAATCGTCATCCAATAAGTGAGGTCATCCGGAAATCCACGCTTCGGTGGATTGGACATGTGTTACGCATGTTGTCTCAACGGCTTCCATACCGTTCATTGTTTGCTAGCCCTGGGTCTGGATGGGAGAAGCAGAAGGGTGGTCAGTGTATGACGTGATGCCGCGGGATGAAGGACAATTTTATGGAGTTAGAATCCGTTGATTCATCACGATTCTCTGAGTGGGGTTCAAGAGATTACACAACTCAGGTGCTGAAAAGTAATAGATGTTTTGTTTTGAGTGTATCTTACTGGATCGCCCTTCTAATCACTCTATCCTTATTGTGTTTTTCTTCCATTGATTTTCCTTCGCTTTATATCTTCATCATATTGTTGTTTTATTTTGTGTGTGGAAATAGAATGAGTACTTGAAGAAAGTCTGAAAATCACTCGGTCTGCTAAGTTGCATAAGCTAACTAATTCATTCTTCTAGTTGAACCCAAATAACTTGAGTGAGCCCCATTGTGAATGCTTATGTGTGTGCTAAAGTCAATATATGAAGCACAATATAATCACTTAGTCAACAGGTTTACTTCTAAATATCCAAATATAAAGTGTGGTATAATCCCTCAAAACACTAAATTCAACATACCTCTTCCAGGTCTTTGTCACGTTGCCGGCATTCTAAAGTGCAAGAACGAGGATGTGACCGGTTATTAATGCAACGAGAATGCTGTTCAGCAACACGCATTGGAATGTTTACTTGTACTATTCAAACAGGTATTTCAGTGTACTACCGTCACCAGTAGATATTCAGACTGTATATTGCTGTAAGTAAACAAAAAAATTATTACACTTAACAAGCGCTTCTTAAAAAATCAATTTTTCCTTATAAAATCCACTGATAAAGTGTAGCCTAGGAAAGGATAGGAATACGACAACTGAATTCAAATCATTTGGAAAAGATGTGGTTCAGCATAAAAGTACTACAGATATTTGCAAAATTCACTACTGGAAATCAGGATAATACTAGCGGTAGTTCATATAGAGCAGCCTTCATGGTTATAATCTTGATGATATTATTGGTGTCAATCAAATAGCATACTGTGCTCCATATATTTAACTTCCAAACACACTGCGACGGCAGTCAGCATCTGAATTTCACTTGTCTTTCTCACTTGGCACTAGGACTTTCAAACACTTAAACTCAACAGATGTATCACTAATCTGCTCAAACAGTGTACCAGAGTTGACATATTTTGAACATCTTATCTCGTTCGGATCAAATTACTGAAGTAAACTACAGGTGAGGTTAGTCATAAGCCGGTGAAATGGTCATTGTGTTTAAGTCATTTCAATGTGACTGGACAGCGCTGCCGATTAACGTGACTGGCGCATTGCCAACAGTGCCAACAAGTGGTATTCGTAACATGATATAAGTCATATAAATGTGAAATACATAGCCATCTGGATGGCTAATCTTAGTGAGTGGTTCATAGCATTCAGACCAGTTTTAATATTGACTTCAACAAAGATTCACACTGACTACACGTTCCAGAGACGATAAGATGGTTAGTGGCATTATGTTTTAAAGATGTATGCACTGGTCACTACTGGTGACTGCTTATCTATTAATTATATCAATTTCCGCTTGTATGTCACACAAATCAGTAATAGAAGGTCATTATCATGCATGCATACAAGCGAGCAATCATGTAAATGCTTCTAATCACAACTCATTAAATACGCAGTGTAAGTCAAAATTAGAATATATGCATTCCTTATTAACTACTAATCACATTCGTGCATCTAATGTTGCATGACATATTAAATACGACCAAGCATTTCAGAGAATTTTGAAGGAGTTTCCAAAAGTATTCAGGAAAGTTAAATTATTCCGTAGGTGATTCACTGCTCCATTTCGTTTACACTACTACTAAGAAAACTGAGTAGTTAGAAACCGCTCATGCTGATATGTGCATTTAGCCAACCAGATCATAGTGATCTAAGCACCATTTCCTTCGTTGGAACACAGCTCATCAGCGACGCACCTGGAGAAACTCAGCACAAAGGGACGAATTACTTCAGACCACCTGGATCTGGCTAGCTGACTTGCATGACTCAGTAAACCTAAACAGATTGATCAGTTTGGAGATGATTCACAAATTCGCGCCAAACTTTTCCAGGTGCACCACTGATGAGCTCAGTTACAAACGACCTAAATGGCTGATCTGGCCGGCAGGTGAGATCTATAAATCAGCTAGGGTAGTTTTCTAACTACTTAAGTTGTTCAGAAATAGTAGTATATTCCGTTAGTTCATGGCATTTTTGTGTCAGAAATCACACATTCTGATCTTGGTGGGAGATTTAAAACTAAAGAAGTGTTGACATCAAAGTTATGGAATTGAAAAACTACTCAGCTGTGACAAATATCAACGTAGACCGTCCAATCTGTAAATCATTTGCAAATTGGTCAGCCATTTTTTTGAACAAGTGATACACATAAACGACAACTCATTATAAATTGCACTCTAAATAAATATGCTTACAAAGGTTACACTTCTAGATTTAAAATCAGTCAATGAATCAGAAACTCATATGAATTGTAGCATTAAAAAATTAGATCTCTGAAGGTTACAATGAAACAAGTTGCTGGCCCTCCTCCGAGCAGCGCTTAACTCTTCAGTGACTATGTGAACGCATTAGTAGTTTAGAGTTTATTAGTTGCTTCTTAAGTATAGACATACTTCAAGCAAGAATACTACTCCTCAAGCACCATTACTTTTATCTAGTAGAAATCAACGTTCGGGTATCAAACATCTACAAATTTACGTGATTTCCGCTATTCATGCAGGTTACCTGTGGATCATTTTCATACTTACAATATTGTAGACTTTCCAGCACAACAAATCTTACACATAGGTAATTATTTTATGAAATTCAGAGTTGGAATGCTGGAATTTCAGGGCTGATGGTAAGTCAACTCCTCAAAATGACTATTAAATCCTCCAGAGTGAAAACTGAATAAAGCTATCTGGTTTGATTAAGATAATAAAATAATTGAAGTAGGAGGATTCAGCTGAAAAGTTACATGGGTTGGTAACTCAGGAGCTGATGATTTGAGTCCTATCGTACTCATATCCGCTGTCGATTTCAGCCGTCATCTCTGAATGTGGAAATTAGGACTGAAACAACTGTCGCACTCTTCTTCCATGAAAATCTGTGGTATCAGACAGATGCATCTCCAATTGAAAAGACATTGTTGACCATACCACGAAAAAACACCTTTGGAAAGAATTAAAAGCATGATAATGTCCTGTAAAACAGACAGCTTTAGACAAATTAAATGTGAGAAGTTGAAGTTCTCTCAACCGCAACCTGATTTTATCTTTTTTCTGAGACTAACAGCGAAAGACTTCGAGATAAAAGTCATTGCAAATAAAATGTTTAGGCTTCGTTACTAAACATCTTTTATCAATATCAATATTTGTAGTTTGAAGTTTCTTTGTCCACAGGTCTTTAGCCACAACAATCATCCGAACAGAGACTGGAGGAAATCTAAACACACTTGAAGCCTGACATAATGGGATCAATTATTTTGAAAACAGTACAACTTATAAAATATATGTTAATCATACGAAAAACATTTGCATATAAAAAGAATATATGCTCAACTGACATACATCAAGCATTATATAAACGAGTAAGGAATTTCAGAAATAACAGCCAGGACAATGTGATAAAGCAAGTGGTTTGAAAGAAGCCCAGAAGATATAACCCACCGATCAACGGACTTAAAATACCACTTTTGATATAAAGTCATTCCTAAAATTAAGCATAGTTCGGTTCAGTGAAGTGATTTAGAAATGACAAATGTACAAACATAGGGTGAACACAAATTTATTCCGAAAGCAACACATGTATATATTAAAAATGGATGAACTTGATATTAATATCAGGTGCTATTTATTGGACTAGCAAACAAATTCTGATGATAAAGTTTCACAGTTGATAAATAATTCAAACGATAGTTTTACAATGTAACTGGAAAGAATAGACAACGGTTCAAAGACGTTTATTGATTTAGATTACCTAGGTTGGCTACGATGAAGACAAGGTAACTTCATGATTTTTTGGGTTCTCAATCAAATTTCTTGGAAATTCGGCTTCAAGCTGTTGTTACACCAGCAAACAAAGTGACAGGTAATAAAAAATGTGAATAACAAAAGCAGAATCTTTTTGATACTCATTAGTTGTCCTGATTAGAACACATCAGGACCAACATTTTCATCTATGTCTAAGTTACTTAACTATGCAATATTAATACATCATCTATTTCTAGATACAGAATTTTTAGATTACCATGACATACAATTCTCCCAGAGGCATTATATGAGCGTCAATTTCTAGAGATACCTTCCAGAAATGACGTGAAGAGAAAAATTATGAAGATGAAAAGTTATGGTGAAAATGCAGTAATTCCATATGCAAGTGGGGCAGTTCTCCATACATCGACATTTTTTAATAAACACTTCAAAAACTGATAAGAATGAACAATAGCACACGAATAATTCAGTTTCAATAAACTTGTTACCAGTAAGTGATTTTATAGTCAGCCAGAATTGGATGTTATCAAACAAAATTTACAAACCAAGAGTAAGACAGTATGATGCTCAGGGAGCATACAAACCTTCGTTTTAAAAAAGCGACCTGCTTTCCCTTTTACTTTAACCATGTCATTATGTCACAGAAGTAATCCTCAAGAATTCTGCTTCATGACAGTCATTCACGCTTTAAACCTATTAGTAGTATTCTACACCACATGCATGTAAGCAATCAGATTTAAACATGAATAGCTCCGGGCAAAGTTGAAGACTTTGAAATAAATTTGCATTTCTGACCATGTATACAACAGGTGCTTGAAAAAAAAACGTTGAAAATCCCTTGGATTCGAGATTACTGTAGACAAAATAAACTATTCTAAATAAGCCTGGTTATCTATTCTGAAACTAATTGAAATTAATTTATATGGTCTGTCAATAGCCATCTTGACACGAGTAGAAGAAATTATTCGTTATGATACCCAGTACTGCTGAGTCCTAATTTTTTTAGTTAACAAAACTATATATTTGCAGTTGACTTAGTAAACGAACACTAAAACCTAGTCCACAAGTTTGAAAAAACTTGTTGCTTTTTCAGCAGAATGAGTTACTCGGGTACATGTATTCCATGAAGCCTCAAGAAACAACTCCAGACAACATGTACACCATCACATATGGTTTTTGTAAACGTGCTCTTCTTCAAGGTTGACAATCGATACATAAAAACCGCAATGGATATTCGCGAATGCATTTCAAAATTACCAATCTTATATCTTACAGTGTCTTCCTTGTTTCAAACGGTTGTTTGAAGATTCCAGATGAACCTTAAAGCAGAAAATCGAGAAACCTTTTTGAAGTAAACTTGGAAAAATAGCAGCCAGAAGGTGAAGCAACTAATAATCAGAGATGGTCACAAATGTAATCGTAGGACTATCATGCATCTAGCTTTCTTTGCATACGATCAGTGGACCATTAATTCTCCATGATGTTAACCCATCCCGGAAGGCAGTTATTTTTGGAGAACATATGAAGTTTATGAAAAAGTCCTTACAGTAACCTCAGTTTGTTCCTTTAGGCCTATCAGTCAATTGTTAGGAATTTCACGCTTTTGAGATGTTTGTCTGCATCAAGAATGCCTGAGAACTCTCCA